AAATTTGAAGATTTTCTGAGAGAGGAGTTTGAGTGTAGTATGATAAAAGAAGGTTGATACCTGTTCAAGCGCAGTTTTCAAAATATTGTGGATAAAAGAGGTACAGATCCCTTATTTTCATATTTACAGTTTCAGAACTGTTGCCCGAGGTTATAATTTTCTGCTAGTTTGTTTTCTATCTCAGATCTGTTAGTTAGGTAATGTGTTCTTGCTCTTCCATGCACTGAGGGGTTGGGGGTGGGGGGTGGAGGGGGGCAGAGGGGGATACCCTAGTGGGCAGAGGGGGATACCCTAGTTTGTTATAAATTGTATTGCAATTTATTACAATAATACATCCCTGATATTTTTTTCCTCAGGTTCAGTAACCAGCTGCTCTCATTTTACAGGATTCCCACTGAAATTTGTAAATTTTGATACAGAGAATGTCTGGGAAAGAATGCTGTGGTTGCTTTCGTTTTGTTAGCTGATGACAGATGATTGATATTCATGGATGACATAGATTTCTTCACACTTACAAAGCAAATAAACAGGATAGAAATTCAATTAAAATATGTTCTGTTTTATATTTTACTTATATTAATATTATGTAGAATATAACTTGTAAACTGGGCAGAAACGATCTGAGTCTTTTTTTCAGATACCAAATTTCTTAGCCTTTCAGACTGGCTTTATCCCATGACTAAAACTGTATTGAGCCATAAGGCTTGTTTACATTGGAGATGGGTCCACTTAACTTAGTACATCAACTTGCTGCCTGATTACATTCCAAACCTTTAAAAGGTAATCTAATCTATCAATTACAGTAGTGGATGGGGGTGGGACAAAAGCGGGATTAGATTGGCCTCTTTTGATTACAGTGTAATCCTTTGGAAGTGCACTGTCTGAGCTGTTCCTTCTCTCTAAATTTTTCTTAGGCTTCTGAGCAGAGAGGTACAGGTGTGTCCAAAAATGGTCTTTTGGTCAGAAAAAATCTAGTCTGAATCAACTTTTGATCTGCTCCTAGTACCTGTAACTTCTCTGCCATTTCTCAAGTTAAGCCAACTAATTCTGAAAAAGTTTAACCTTTTCTGAAAAAAATCCTTTTAAAATTGAAGCATGGTTACAGGCCTGGGCCTAACTCAACTGTAAGGGAGCATTCCCAAAGACTATCGAAATTGTTGCGTCTGTCCAACTTTTACTAAGTACAATTGATTTAATTGAATGACATGCCTCCTTGAGCAGCTAGGGGATAATTGAATCAGGGTAAATTACCCCCTAGCTGAGGCGTGTCACTCAATTAAGTTGATTCCATTGATTGCAATTACCAAGAATCCCTCTGCGGAGTTGGACCGACCCAGCTAGCACGATAGGTGTATGGGAATGGGGTATAAGATGCCTCTGTAGCCAGATAACTGAAGGTTTTTTACTAAAAAACAGGAAGAAATTGGATTGAGATATTGAATGACCATAAGGTGATCAGATATGATCCATAATGTTCTTCACCTTATTTGCCTTCAATGGTACGACATATGATTATGTCTAAAGTCTCGGAAATCAACATCCATCAAGGCTGCATCTGACATTTATTAGAGTTATAGCTACACTTTGTGGTCTGTTTATGACAAAACTTGTTCACTCTGAGAAGTGTCTGCCCAGTGCAATAAGATGAAAGATAACAGATGGTGATCATGCTGTGAACGTGGCATTTTCAGGGTGATTTGTTCTGATTCTTAATTTCATAAACTAGCTATATGTAAGATCGAATTAAAAATGTTATACATTGAGTTTTGTTCACGAAAAAAGTCAACTTCTTTAAATGAGAGTTTACAAAAAAATTCCACCCCTATCCTAGACTTATTTTATTATGTTATTATCATATTTTAATGAACGTTAAAATAATAGTAAAATAAAATAAAAAAGTAATTGAACCTTCAGAGGGAAGATATTATAATATAATATGTCTGATAATATTTATTTTGAAAAAAAACTTCTAAATATTGGATGTGGCATAGAACCTGCCCAGTGCAGTGGGTGTCACCTGTTTGTTTCTAGGTTTTCAATAAAGTGTCTTCACAGTTAAAACTTTTGAACCCAGGCTGGTTTCATGTCTTTGCTCTGGGAGTTTTTATGTTTCAGCTGCTGTGGGGGACTGGTGATTCTGCTGCAGTTAATGTCACCAATATCTAAATACCTCATTCTTCAAATTCTCACACAAGGGGACTTGTACCAGTAAGGTATAGATAAACAATCCATTTTTGTTGAAAAAAAGTTGAAAAGAACCAGGGGATGTATTGCTGGGTGGCAACATCTCACTGAACTCATGGTTACTTAGTATCAACAAAAATGGTGTCTGTTTAGATAAGTTTTAAGGCTTGTGAACTGGTACAAAACAATTTGGTCATACTTTTTAGACACCAGCTGTATGCGTTTTGATTTTTTTTTAAGCCCTGATCCCGCAAATATTAGTTACATAAAGAAAATCCTAGAATTTACCAAGAATAAAAATAGCACATAGCTGGTTTTATTATTTTTTTAATCTTAAACTTAAACTAACACTTAAGCTTAAAGCAGTAGATGTCAGTGGTCCCTAGGTTGCCCTCGGGGGATATGGGGGGTAACGATGACCTGGGTATTAAACACCTCATCCATGAGTATGCTATTATCAGGGGGAGGAGGTAAAAATTTCAGGTTGGTTGCAGGTATTGTTAGTTTTGTCAGCTACGTGATGGCTATGGGAAAATGAAGGTGTTAATGTGCGCCTTGGTGTACAGTAATAGCAACACTGGTGTTGGTGTAGTTAGTAGTTAGCAGTTATGTTCTCTGACCTCTCCCAAATCAGCATTATGGAGTGCACACCTTAGTGTTGCACAGGTGTTGTGGTCTTCAAATGAATGCCCAGTGTCCAGGTAAAATGACCGCCTGTTTACTGAATGTAGACATATGGGAAAGATGTTAAAGTTTGTCTCTTTAAGGGTAAGTCTTTTTATCTATAATATTTTTGTCTCTTTGATAAAAAGGTCCATATTGTCCCTGGAGGTATGTGTTAGAAATAGTTTTGTAAGGAAGGTGGGGTTGTCAATTTCGATTAGTTTGAGTACTAATAATAAGTTACAATAATGGCAGGTTCTCAAATCTAATGGAAGAGAAATGAAATTAAGTACAAGGAAAATTTCTTTTTATTGGCACTGTTGAATTTTAGTATGATCTTAAAGTATGCAATGTGATTCATCCTAAATATAAATGAGAGTGTAGCATTCCAAGCTGGTCAGAAGAATTTATTTTCTGAAGGAATCTTTTTTTTTTTTTTTTCATCAACAGTATTGTCAACAGAATGATTTTAACCACAGAGATATTCAGAAAATAACTTTCCTGAATTCTTTTAAGTCCCAAGACTATCTCAGTTCCTATTACCAGTACCCCTGTATAATTTTACCAAATCAGTGATGGAGAGAGTAATTGCCAGGTAGAGGAAAGTCAACATCAGTACTCAGAAACTCAGCGTGGTTGGCCAGTGAGTGACCCCACTGAATGCTTACACAGCAAATGACGGAACTGAAACATGTTTGAGAGCCCATGCTGAGCTGTACTTACATTAGGTAGTAGAACATGATCGATTTGCACAGAAACTTCTTGCATCAATACTTTACTCTACTTAGGATGCAGGTGGAATATGGGAGTGCATTAAACAGATTGGTGCTAGGGGATGGTAATATAGTCAACTTTACATTCTTTTAATGGTGAAGAGTTTCATTAGAACTTGCTATGTAATTTCTGAATTGCGCCCAAGAATTCTGATTACATCTTGGATTACTGACTTGTTTCATAACTTTTAATCTTTCCAACTCCCATCTGTGGAGGTAGTTTTGACATTTCATAGTCTCATCTTTCTTTCAAGTAAATGTGTGAGAAGCAAGTTATTTTTAGTGAGGAAAGGAGATGGGATCTGCACCAAAAGAAAGTGTCATCAGGGCTTGTGAGAACATATGCACCAAATTTTCCTTTTTTTTCCTTAAATGTAAATGATAAATCCTTTCCTTTCTTTTCCTTTCTGTCACCATGTCACCCTGGTATAATGACATCTCTACGGATGTTTATCAACTTCCAACATTTACATGTAATTTTCAAAAATCATCTGAAACTCTGTGTGACAGTATCTCTTAAGTCTTTAGAAGAATTCTACATTCCTCTCCCAATGACATGTGGCAATGGTAAGTGTTATCAGGCAGATGATTATAGCTCCACCTTCTGTGGTTACAGTTTGGTCCCTGTTGTCATGCCTTTATGTCTAACATGCTGTCACTGTGGATTAAGGATTTCTGCACTAAAATGGCTTACGATGAGAAAATGATGAAAAAAAAAAGACTTCTGATATAAGACATTGTAAAGTGGAGGGTTTGTTTTTCTGAGTTTTTGCACCGAGCTAGTAAGAAGCTCTTGTGAAATTTTAAGCATTCCAAAACAAGCTTTACACAAAAACATATTATTAAGCAATTACTTCACAAATTAAAAGAACAAATGAATAGAGGGGGGAATAGTTGTAATTCCTATCAAAAATACTTAAAATTTTCTCCTTTTTCAAACACATGATATTGCATCAAGCAAAGCAATGACTACAGACATGGCCATTTTGATAACCAGTCTATGATAACAATCAGACATACTCTATCTGACAGACACAGAAAAAAAATGTGTTGAAAGTAAAATTGTTTCTTATTTTTCTTTTAATTTGTGCATTTGGTAGAGAAAACCATTTCAGCAGCAGGCCACAGCTGTTTGCTTGCAAGATGGCCACAAACACTGAAGTTTTCTCTGCTGCAACCTGCAGGATTCCTACAACTCATTGCCAGACCAGCGAAAGTAAAAACAAACCACAGATAAGATTAAGTCAAAAAAGTTTATATTGTTTAAGTTTCAGTTGACAAATGAAATACGATATCCTGCATCTGCCGCTTTTTAGTACCATCACCATGGAAACACTTTATCTTTGGGGAGTATGCTGGCAAGAGGGGTATGTGCGTGTGTGTAACTCTCCTGTTGATTGGCTCCAGATTGCATAAACTGCCTTGTTTGTGTGGCCTGGCAGTTGTGTTTGGATGGTGGAAGGGAGCAATATTGTTCTAAATTGGCCCAGGCGCTGCTCAGAACACAGCAGTTGGCGGTGCTGACCTGTTGGTGAAGGCCTTTGCTCATCCTATTGTTTAGAAAGTTGTCAAGGTCCAAGGGAGCTTGGTGTATACATATATTTCATACCCCTGTGATTGACTACCTCAACTCCTGTGTGGTTTTGATGGTTTTATGGACAGAAAAGAATGCCAAGTTTGTCTGACATAGCACTGCAAGAATGCCCAGTCAGTCGGCACCCATGCTGCTGCTGCTGCCAGTGAAATTTAAAACAGCATACCCTCTCTCCCTCTGGACTATCTGTTGCTGTCAGTTCCACCTGAGCATGATGGGATCAGTAACCATGGTATCAGTAGCGAGAGGAGGGATGTAAGCACTGCCTCTTGGTTCTTGTACTGTTGTTGTAACAGTACTCTGGCAAATGGGTAATCAAGGCGGTAAACCTGAGGATTCTAGACTTCAAAAACCAGCTTCAAAGGCATCAGTTCACAGACGGGTAAGTGGAGCTGTGTCTCACCTGGCCACCCTATAATTTTCCAGTCCAGTTGTAGTGATTATAGCTCTTCCTTTCAAAATGAACCATAGCATTTACTGTACATGTATGTTTGTTCATGAATGCTGTCTTTGGTAATATTGCTGACATGTAGAGGGTTATTTAGTTGTGCAGGTATTCCTAGATGGGATCATTGGGTCTGGCTAAATGTCTTGAAAAGTTTGAGGAGTAATAATAATTCTTAAAAGCGTCCATAAACTTAAAATATTTGAAATGCACCTAAGGTCTTCCAAGTTTATCATTAAGGTTTTATTGCTGAAACATGTTTTTTCCATTTAGTTTTGGCATGGGAGTCTAGCGAGTTTCCTTTTGTTTTCCGCAAATGGTTTGCTATATCTTTATAAAAAATGTGCTCAGAACTATGTCTTCAGAGTTCTGTTCTCAAGTGACTGTTTCCTGCTTATTAAGAATGATTTATATCATAAAATAATACAAAAAGAAGCAGTTGTACATTTTCAGGAAGGGTAGAGTACTGGTAATGGGGCAGTAAATGTTAGGATTTCTTGGCGTGGCCACTACACAGTATATTTTAAAATCTATAATCTGCATTAAAATATGATTAAAAATTTTAAAACTATGTAACTGAGGCACATGGTTTGTATTTTATGATGCAACAGAAGCATCAAGGGTTAAGATTAATAAGCTGGAATAGTTAAAGCCTAATCCTTATTGTCTTTAGTTAAAAAACAACTTAAGTATCAAGAAAATCTTGTCATTTGATGTCTTTCTGCTTTCAAACAAAGCAGTTTCAATTAAATGCCATGTCTTAAATGATTACAAAGTTTTGAAAATCTAATTGTATTGGAAAAATTAACTCTTTCATCTGATATTGCATTTTTGACCAATTCACCATTTTGATGAGAACAAAAAACTGTCTGAATGCAGTTCTCAGATAGCACATCTTGTCTTAAAGTTACAAAGAACTTAAAATATATGCCAAAATGGCTATAAACCGTAACTTCAACACCTCTGACCTTTCTGTGTTATTAAGATAAGCACCGCTCACCTGTCATTACACATCTTCCTATATACTTTTCACACCATAAGGGCCAGTGCTGGAACCTCAGGTACATACTTTTCTACATTATTGAAGGGTGTAGACTTAGGTAGTTATTTTAAATCAAAAGCCAAAAAAAGTTACTGATGGATGATTCATATTGGGAAAATCTTGGGTAAAAAATTTTGGGAGGCTCTGATAGTGCAGGTATTTTGGGTATTTATTTGTAGGTGATGATAGTATTTAGAATTGAAATATTTCTGGAAAATTGACCGAGGTTATGCATGTTTATTTTTAGTGAAAATGATATATTTTAAGGGTTTTAGGATGAAAATAGGTTTTTGATGTAAGTATGGTAGGCTGGAGTGTGTGTGTGTGTGTGTGTGTGTGTGTGT